TTTTTTTTGTTAAGCTTCTGAGAACTGAACATATATATGCACAAATGCACTGCATTTTAGTCAGGACTTCTGTCTTATTACCAAACAAGTGTACAGTACTTATTTTTAATTCTAAATATTTAAGTTAATATAACCATTAACTAAAATATAGAATTAATAGGTTTGAAATAAATGATTTATTAGCTGCATTCTTGCAATTTGTCAAATAAATGTCAACAAGTTACAAAGGTGTTTGTGTCTCTCCTAGATAGTTTTGGATTTTTGTTTTGTCCTCTGATTTTACTCACCTACTGTATTGTATTGACGTGGGATCAAAATATCCCTTAGGCAGCTAATCCTGTGACCTTTGGACTCATTTTGCTGAAATCCTCTTCAGGGCTGAGAAGAAATGTGCCCTCCTAATCGTTTTATCCGCCATCAGGGTCCATTTGAGAGGCTAAGTCACAGAAGGGACAGATCACGGCAGAGGACACACAGAGGTGATCTCTAGTCTCCACTGCAACCAATCAAAGTTGAATGCGTTGTATTTTAATAACACCTTTCCCTGGTCATGTACTGTACAATACTGGACCACTGCCCCTTACGAAAAAGTCATTAATTTGGGTGCCGAGACTCTGAGCTGAGTTCATTGATCTGTATCTCAGCGTGATTATGTTTACTTGATGAAAATAGTTCGTATATGAAGAAACCACTGAAATGTTACACTGCAGACAGGAAATAATAAAACCGAAACCTTCTCATCAAAATGCGTTTTCAGGAGCGTTATTCGAGGACAACAAATTAATTCTCAAAAACAATCATATGGTCGGAACGGGGTGTTAAATGTGTTATATTTCATATGGCTGATGTCTTTGACAGGCAACGAAAAAAAAAACCCGTTAATAATGTTCAGTACTGTGGTAGTGTGATTTAAATACGTTTCGTGTTAATAAATAAAAGGAACACAAAACAGCATCTGTCGCGTAAATTTCCAAACAACCTTCTTTTCCGCTCTTTTTTCCTTTGCAGTCCGCTGAGTCCCTGGCGGTTGTTATCTTTCCTTCTCTATTTTTTTTTTGCCAGAGGGTAGCCAGATGTTGTTGTTTTCTTCCTGGTTGTTCTTAATCTTTTTTTTCCTCCTTTTTCTCATACAGGACCCAGCTCGTCTTGCGGAACTTTTTTTGTCATGACCCTCTTTTTTTTCTGCAGGATTTTTTTTAACGATAATCACCCACACCATATGCGTGCACCAGCTAATTACTGCGATTTTGGGGAGGCAGTGGGCGTCTGTTTCATGTTGAACTTATGACAAAATAAAGATTCAGTCCTCTAACAACTAACCAGGAGACATCCATAGTGTTAGACGAATGTGATTCGAGGCCTTGAAGGGGAAAAACGGTATTATCCAAAACTTCTTGCCATTTGATACG